CAAACAGTTATTGCGCATCTTGCGTGTTTCAATACAAGAGGCACTGGGGAGCAGGTGCAGCTTGTTTTATCTCATTGCCATTGCTGGTCCTTGGTATGGGGATGCTGCAAGTGGTGATGGGTGTCCTTGAAAGAATAATGGCCATAGGGCAGTTCTCACTCTCACTTGGGACACAGGGATTAAGAGACAATAATACAAGTGACTAGGAATTATTACACTGTGGTCACAGGAAGCCTGAGAACACATAAAGAAGTTCTAGCCCAAGCTGGAGGTCAGGGTGGGCCTCTCAGAGCAGGTGAGGGGCAAGCTGAGGCATGGACAAGAAGATAGATCAGCTGGATGCACTGGTTTCCTGGGATTGCTGTAATAAATCACCACAAACTGGGTGGCTTAAAACAGAAGTGGGTTTGCCAGCATTTGCCAGTGTGGCTTGGTTGGTAGGAGTATCACAAGGGTTTGATCCCTGATTAGACCACATATGTAAGTTGCAGGTTTAAGTTCCCATGTCAGGGTACATGCAGGAGGTGGCTGTTTCATTCTCTGTCTCTCTCCTGTTCCTCCCTAAAATCAATGAACATATCCTCAGGCAAGAATTTAAAAACAAAAAGCAAAAACAGAAGTGGTTTCTCTCACAGTTCTAGAAGCTAGAATTCTAAAGTCAGGGTGTCATTGGGGACATGCTCTGTCTGAAGTCTCCACAGGAGCCGAGAGAATCCTTCCCTGCCTCTTCCTAATTCCTGGTGGTTACTGGCGTTCTTTGGTTTGCCTGCAGCTCCGTAACCCTGATCTCTGCCTCTGTGGCCACATAACCTTCTTCCTGTGTGTGTGTCTCTGTCTTCCCTTCTTACAGGGCACCAGTCATCTTGGATTCAGGGCAGCCCACCCTAATCCAGTATGACCTCATCTCAACTAATTACATTGACAAAGATCCTGTTTCCAAATAATATTATAGCCACCGGTGCTGAGGATGAGAGCTTTAATAAGTCTTTTTGGAGGATCTGAATAGACGTTTCTTCCAAATAAGACTTCCATAAAGCCAACAGGTACATATCAACACACACCTGTCAGAATGGCTATTGCCAAAAAAGAGCAGGAAATAATGAGTGTTGGTGGAATGTGGAGAGAAGGGAAAACTTGTGCACTGTTGGTGAGGATGTAAATGGTGCAGCCACTGTGGAAAACAGTATTGAGGTTCCTCAAAAAAGTAAAACTATGCCCTGGCTGGTGTTGCTCAGTAGATTGAGCACCAGCCTGCAGACCAAAGGGTTGCTGGTTCGATTCCCAGTCAGGGCACAATCCTGGTCCCCAGTCCAGGGCATGCAAAAGGCAACTAACTACACACTGATGTTTCTCTCCCTCCTTTCTCCTTTCCCCTCTGTCTAAAAAATAAATAAATAAATAATCTTTTTAAAAATTAAAAAAACAGAAGTACCACATGACCCAGAAGTTCTACTGCTGGGTATGTGTCTGAAGAAAATAAAAACACTACCTCAAAAAGATATCTGCACCCCATATTCACAGCAACATACATTATTTACAACAACCAAGATATGGAAACAATAAAGGAATCTAAATCCCATTATATATGTATAATAGAATATTATTCAGTCATAAAAAAGGAAAGCTTGTCATTTGTGACAACATAGATGAAACTTGAGGGCATTATGCTCAGTGATAACTTGATCTCTTGTCTTTCTGATGGTAGCCATTTTGACAGGTGTGAGGTGGTATCTCATTGTGGTTTTGACTTCCCTTTCCCTCATGATTAGTGAAGGTGAGCACATTTTCATGTATTTGTTGTCCATCTGTATGTTCTCTTTGCAGGAATGACTGTTCAGATCTCCCACCCATTTTTAATTGGATTGTTTGTACTTTTTAAAAAAGATTTTATTTATTTATTTTAGAGAGATGGGAAAGGGAGGGAGAAAGAGAGGGAGTGAAACATCAGTGAATGGTTGCCTCTAGCACACTCCATACTGGGGATATGGCCTGCAACCCAGGCATGTGCCCTGACTGGGAATCAAACCAGCAATGCTTTGGTTCCCAGGTCTGAGCTCAATCTGCTGAGCTACACCAGCCAGAGCTGTTTGTACTTTTTTTAACATGGCAACTAGAATATTGAAAATTATGTCTTATGCTATGTTTCCAGTGGACACCACTGCTCTAGATTTTTTTCAGCGTGGTGAAAATTATTCATAAAAATAATTTTATTTTATAGAGTATTTTTATATTCAGAACAAGTATTTTATTTTTAGTTAACAGACATCAACTAGACTTCTTGTGATGGTCATTTTGCAATATGTACAAACATTAAATCATTATGCTGTACACCTAAAATTGTTATCTGTCAATTATATCTCAATTAAAATAAATTTAAAAAAATTTTTAAAGTGGCCCTGGCTGGTATAGCTCAGTGGATTGAGCAGAGGCTGCAAAACAAAGGGTTATCGGTTCAATTCCCAGTCAGGGCACGTGCCTGGGTTGCAGGCCAGGTCCCCAGTGGGGGCCATGTGAGAGACAATCACACATTGATGTTTCTCTCCCTCTCTTTCTCCCTCCCTTCCCCTCTCTCTAAAAATAAATAAATAAAGCCCTTTTTTAAAAAAAAAGTGTAAAAATAGCCCTGGCTGGGGTAGCTCAGTGGATTGAGCATGGGCCTGTGAACCAGAGTATCGCAATTGGATTCCCAGTCAGGGCACATGCCTGGGTTGCAGGCCTGTTCCCTGCAGGCCGCTTCCCAGCAGGGGACACATGAGAGGCAACCATACATTGATATTTCTCTCCCACTCTTTCTCCTTCCCTTCCCCTCTCTTGAAAAGTAAATAAATAAAATTTTTAAAAAGTGTAAAAATAAATAAAGTGAAGTTTAGCATCATTTGAAAAAAATAATAATTTTCTAAGTAGATATGTCCTGCCCTGGCTGGTGTGGCTCAGTGGATTGAGTGTCAGCCTGCAAACCAAGGGGTCGCTGGTTTGCTTCCCAGATGGAGCACATGCCTGGGTTTTGGGCCGGGTCTCTGGTGAGGGGCACAGGAGAGGCAACCACACATTGATATTTCTCTCCCTCTCTCCCTCCCTCCCTCCCTCCCTTCCCCTCTCACTAAGATAAATAAATAAATTCCTTAAAATCATATATATAATAAACATACATATATAAAATAAACATATACAGGATAGGGCAAAAGTAGGTTTATGGTTGTTCATATGGAAAATAATACGATAATTAATTAATAATAATACAAGAATAAATTTCATGTTTTGCATACTCACAACTGTAAACGTACTCCCCCCACCCAGTATATATAATATCAGTGCTATGATTTGAATGTGTGCCCCTCCCCCAAATTCATATGTTGAAGCCCTACCCCCCAAAGTGATGCTATTTGAAGGTGGTTAGGATTAGATGAAGTCTTGAGGGTTGAGTCCCCTTGGTGGGAATAATCCCCTTATAAAAAGAGGAAGAGCCCTGACCAGTGTGGCTCAGTTGCTTAGAGTGTTGTCCTGTAACCTAAAGGTTGCAGGCTTGATTGTGGGTTCAAATCCCAGTCCAGGTGCACATGGCAGGCAACAAATAGGTGTTCTCTTTCACATTGATGTTTATCTCTCTCCCTTCCTTTCTCTTTAATAGCAATGAAAAAGTGTTCTCATGTGAGGATAAAAATAATAGTAAAAATAAAAAGAGGAAGAGACTTGAGGGCTCTCTCTCTCTCTCTCTCTCTTTCCCTCCCTCCCTCTGCAAGGAGGTGTCACGAGAAGAGGACATGACCAGAAAGAAGCCCTCACCAAGATCCCAGCTCTCCTGGCACCCTGATCTCCACCTTCTTTCTACCTTCCAGAACTGTGAGAAATAAATGTCTGCTTGAGCCATCCAGTGTGCAGCGTTTGCCACAGCAGCCTGAGCTGACTTAATCAGGTTGGGTAACTGCTCTGGAAAAAAGTATAGCAGGGAAGGGGAAAGGAGGCCAGGGATGGGCGTGGGTAGGAATTTTGAGAGAGGTCGCCCTTCAGGGGTGACATTTGAATAAAATCCTGAAGGAGGTTCAGGGGGAGCCATGCAGATAGGTCAGGTGGAACGGTACCTGCTGAGTTTGAAAAAAGGAAGTGGCTAAAGGGAAGCGAGTGAAGGGAGAGCAGATGGAAAGTCAGTGAGGTGACTGTCCTGTGTTTTCTCCCTCACGTTCCACACCCTCATTCAATTCCTCCTGTCTTTCTGAAGCCAACTGAAGCCAGTGCCCCTGGGCCGGCCACTAGAGGTCACCCTGGGTTGTAGTTGGCCTTCATGGAGCCCTAACTGTGCCTCAAAGGCCTCGCAAAGAGCTTAACAGCATGAATTTAGCTCCTCCTTTTAACATTCCTCTGAGTTACACGCATTGAAAAAATTTTACAGCTTTATTAAGGTATAATTGACATACAACAAACCACACACATTTAAAGTGTACGCTCCGATGAGTTTTTGCATCCTGGAAACCATCACTACAATCCAGATACAAAATATATACCCTAAAAAGTATGCTCTCGCCTTCTTTAAATTCCTCCCTCTCGCCTTTCCGCACTCTACCCCCAGGCAACCACTAATGGTATTAGGAGGTTGCACTTTCTAGAGTTTGATATAAATAGAACTAGAGAGTATTCTCTTCTTTTTTGTCTTGGCTTCTTTCCCTTAGCAAAATTTTTATGAAGAGTCATCTATGTGGCTTGTATTTGAACTTCCTTTTGCTCATGGGGAAACTGAGGCACACAGAGGCGTGTCTGGGGGTGGGGAGTGAGAGGTAGGGTGCGGATGGGGTGTCACACAGAGGTTTGGCCCCAGGCTGAGGGGGTTCTGGGCGCCGGGCCTTGGAGGGCGCTCTGGTTCCCAGGAAGACTCCGTCAGGTGCGGACAGGCGCCTAGGCCGCCGCCAGGCTGTGGGTCGGCGGCTCGCTGGCGGAGGCGGGGCAGGGCGGGGGCGGGGCTTCCCTGCTCTGGGGCCTCCGATAAGGGCCTGCGGGGGCTTGCCAGGCCTGGGTGCCAAGATAAGGCGGCAGCTGGAGGACCGGGCGTGGGGGTCCTGGGGTTCCTCCGCCTGTGGAGTCCCCAGTGCGGCCACCCGGACTGGGACAGGAGGGAAGGCGGGGGACTGGGGCGGGGCGTCCGCGAGTGTCACGCCCGCCTTCCTCCCGGGCCAGGGCAGCTAAAATGGCGGCGACGGTGGTGAGAGCGTCCCGCGTCCGGTCCCGGGTCCCGGTCGCTGCGTCGGGGGCGGAGTAGCGCCTTCAGGGCGCTGGTGTCCCGGACACATCCTGGACCCTGGGGCATTGGCTCGCGGCCCCTACCTGGGCCTTCGGTCCGTCTGCCCGGCGCGCCCATGAACTCCGTGTCGCCGGCCGCGGCGCAGTACAGGAGCGGGAGCCCTGATGACGTGCGCCGCCCCGAGGGCCGCAGGACGCGGAGTCCCAGAGTCCCGGACCCCAACGGCCTGGCACCCTCCGGGGCCAGCGGCCACGCTCTGGGTTCTTCCGGGGCCGCCTCCGGGGAGCCGGACGAAGTGGACAAATTTAAGGCAAAGTTGCTGACTGCCTGGAACAACGTCAAGTACGGTAAGAAGGGCTCGGCCCAGGATGCGGGTTCTGGGGTGTCAGTGAGCTGAGGGTTCCGCAAGGCAGGGGGCTTAGAGGTCGGTGGGAGTCAAGGAACCAGACTCTGCCGTATATTCCGAGTATTCCACCATTTGTTCTGTGAATCACCTGTGGGTCCCCCGCCCTGCCCTGCCCAGGGCTGTCTGTGACAGGTCTTACAGGGAATGTTTTCAAATCCAGCTCTTCCCGGTGTTACTTTGAACAAGCCTTTTTACTTCCCTGTGTGCCCATTTTTCCCTTTTGCAAGAACGGGTACGAGAATCAGAACTGCCTTATTAATTCATCCTGAATTGATGGCCAACACTGGTGTGGCTGTCCTAGGGTCTCCACTTCCATCTAAGAGGATATGGAATGCATTCTCCAGTGCCACTCCAGAGATGGGGAGTTGGGTGGTCCCCATTTCACAGATGGGGGACAATGCTGTTGCTGTCCTATTATGTTAGGATCCATCTGACTTCTCGCTGCCCCGTGTCTCCACAGGTTGGTCAGTCAAAAGCCAGACCAGGTTTAGCAAGATCTCCAGTGTCCACCTCTGTGGCCGCCGATACTGCTTTGAGAGTGAGGGTGAGCTGGTGGCCCCAGGCCAAGGTTGGGTGAGGCCCCAGGGGTGTTTCTGGTGGAGTTGACAAGCCTGCTCTTATAGGTGACATCCAGCGTTTCCAAAGGGACTTTGTGTCTCGCCTGTGGCTCACATACCGCCGGGACTTCCCACCCTTTGCTGGTGGCTGCCTGACTTCAGACTGCGGCTGGGGCTGCATGTTGCGAAGTGGGCAGATGATGTTGGCACAGGGCCTCCTGCTGCATTTCCTGCCCAGAGGTGAGGGGTGGAGGGGGAAGGGCACACTGGGAATATGAGCCTACCACATAGGTCAGAAGTGTTAGAATTGCTTGTAACTAAAGTTTAAATTCATATTACCATTGTGTATAAAGTAAGTTTTAAAGTAAGGGGGAGTTAGTGCAGTTTATAAGTTGCAAAAATGTGAAAATTGTTAAAACATGGGGGGGTCTCAGGAGCATTAGAATTGTGCATCAAGCATGAGTAAATGAGAACTGTGACCCCATGCAGTGGCACTGGTTGACAATGTATTCTATCCCCACCAGACTGGAGCTGGGCCAAGGGTGTGGGCCTGGGCCCTCCTGAGCCACCAGGGTTGGCCTCTCCCAACCAGTACCATGGGCCTGCCCACTGTATGTCCCCACGCTGGGCCCAGCATGGCCCCGAGCTGGAGCAGGAACGTCGGCATCGGCAGATTGTGTCCTGGTTCGCCGACCACCCTCAGGCCCCCTTCGGCCTACACCAGCTGGTGGAGCTCGGGCAGAGCTCAGGCAAGAAGGCAGGTGACTGGTATGGGCCATCTCTTGTGGCACATATACTCAGGTGAGGGCCACAGCAGGGGACATGGGAGCTACTGGGTACCCCAAGGAACTCAAGCCTTTCTTCTTGGCCCCAGGAAAGCTGTGGAGAGCTGCTCAGAGGTCACCCACCTGGTGGTGTACGTTTCTCAGGACTGTACAGGTAAGGTTTCTCATAACCAAGGTCATGGGGTTGTCATCCTGAGCAGGCCGCTGCTTCTTAGGACCCACCTTTTTCGGAGGCTGAAACAAGGCCTGGTCAGATTCATGGCCTCCACTGGGAGAGATGCTCAAGACCCCTCCACTGTCTAGATCCAGGAGTGGAGACTTCAGGGGCTTCTTCCCAGGTGACAGAATAAAGGACATAAGGTGCAGCAGGCTCAGTGTCTGGTGGGAGCTCATTCCCCAGTTCACTTTGCTGTGTCCTCACGTGGCAGGATGAGCAGGCAAGCTCCCTGGGGTGTCATTTTTATTTTCCCCATTCAGGTGTAATTGGTCTATAACTATTTCAGGTATACAGCATTATGATTTGATATTTGTGTACAGGGTGGGGCAAAAGTAGGTTTATGGTTGTTCATATGGAAATAATATAATACAAGAATAAACTCTGTTTCATGTACTCACAACTGTAACCCTACTTTTGCTCCACCCTGTACACTTGAAATGATTACCACAATAAATCTAGTTAACGTCACTATACATAGTTTTAAAAACTGGAGGGGGGTACCTCTTTTATGAGGGCACTAATCCCATTCTTGAGGGATCCACCCTCAATGACTTAATCACCTCCCACACGATCACCTTAGAATTAGGATTTCAACAAGCTTTCAGATCATAGCAGCTGTGTCTCCAAAAAGGGTTGAATCTGCTTTTCTGGGCACCAGCAAGGGAGGAGGAAGAATGGACAGCAGTGGATTGGATCTGAAGGGGAGGGACACACAGGGCCATTCAGTTGGGGACTGCTCTGTGCTCCTGTGTCCATCCCGGCAAACCCGGACACGGAGTCAGTGAGAGCGGGTCAGGCCTGGGAAGGGGGATCCGCCCCCCCCCTCCCAGCTGTGTGTTCTTCATCCAGCTCTCAGGGTCTTGGTTGTTCTCTGAAAATTGGGGCTCCATGGTTTTCTGAGGGAATTTGGGGGCTCTGGAAAGACTTCTTTCTCTACCGACAATGGGAGTATCACCCCCACGTTTGCTTGGGTGAGGTTGGTCCCCAGGGATGGGAGGCCATACTCTGAAGTTTGAAGGGCGATGAGAAGATGACCTGCCATCCTGTCCTTCCAGTGTACAAAGCGGATGTGGCACGCCTAGTGGCGAGGCCGGACCCTGCAGCTGAGTGGAAGTCTGTGGTCATCTTGGTGCCCGTACGGCTGGGTGGCGAGACCCTCAACCCTGTGTATGTGCCCTGCGTGAAGGTAAGTTCAGCCAGATTCACCATCCCTCCCCCAGGAGCTCTCCAGGGTTTTTCAGCTTGGGTTAGGTATACATGCCTCCTTTGTTCCTTCATTTGTTTATCCAGTAGTTACAGGGCACCTGGTATGTGCCAAGCAGTCTCCTAGCTGCTGGAGGTTCAGAAGCGAACAGGCAAAAACATGTGCCTTCTGGGAGAGAACACTCAAATGACAGGCAGTGAATGTGGAACCAAATAGACACCTTTGGAGTTACAACCTGGACTGTAAAGGAACGCAAACTTATTATTAATATTTAAAAAAAAGCCCTGGCTGGTGTAGCTCAGTGGATTGAGCATGGGCCTGTGAAACAAAGGGTTGCTGGTTCGATTTCCAGCCAGGGCACATGCCTGGGTTGCAGGCCAGGACACATGAGAGGCAACCACACATTGATGTTTCTCTCCCACTCTTTCTCCTTCCCTTCCCCTCTCTCTAAAAACAAACAAACAAACAAACAAACAAACAAATAAAAAGGAATGCAAACTAATGGTGGAGGGCAGGTGGGGGTGGCTGCAGAGCCTAAGAGGGCCCCTCTCCTGCCAGGGGCAGTGAAGAGCCAGAGGAGGAGCGTTCCAGGCAAAGGGAACGGCGAGGCTGGAAAGACCCTGGTGTGTTTACATTCAGACCAAAGGCCAGAGATCTCCCCGCAGCCCACAGAACCCCACATCCTGTCCCTTCCTGCACTTCATCTGACCCCACTCTCCTCACTTGCTCTGCTGCAGCCACCAGGGCCTCCTTACCGTTCTCAGAATACACCTGCCTCCGGACTTCGCACTTGCTCTTTCCCGAGATGCTGACCATGTTTCTGACCATGTTTCATCTTTGCTGAAACATTACCTCCCAGGGAGGCCTTTCTTGACTCTCTTACTTAGACTTTCAAAGCCCCCTCCCCTACTTTGTCCTTTTCCCAGTGTAATCACTTCCTGACACAACGACATAACTCATCTTCTCGTTTGTCTACCACACGTCTACTCCATAAGGCAATGTCTATCTTTGTCATGGCTGTTCCCCAGGGCCCAGCATAGGCCTGGGCTCACACACACAGGGTGTTTGTTAAGCATTTGTTGAGGAACTGTCTGACAGCACCTGCCCTGAGTCCTCACCTTTGTCCACTGTCTTCCCTGCAGGAGCTTCTGCGTTCAGAGCTGTGCCTGGGCATTATGGGGGGCAAGCCACGGCACTCGCTGTACTTCATCGGCTACCAGGGTAGGCATGCCTCATGCGTCTCCATCCTGCCTCACCTTACCCTTCCCCACCCCTGCTTACACCTCCTCCCCTGCAGATGACTTCCTGCTCTACCTGGACCCCCACTACTGCCAGCCTGCTGTGGATGTCAGCCAGGCTGACTTCCCCCTGGAGGTGAGCTGGGACCCATAGGATGGGGCCCGGGGCATGTGGAGGGAGCTGGAGCCCCCTGAGCTGCCTCCTTTGTCTTCCTTAGTCCTTCCATTGCACCTCACCCCGCAAGATGGCCTTCGCCAAGATGGACCCAAGCTGTACTGTGGGGTTCTATGCTGGAGACAGGAAGGAGTTTGAGACACTGTGCTCAGAGCTGACCAGGGTGAGAAAGTGGCAGAGGGTAAGGGAAGAGATGCAGGGCTGGAGTGGGAGAGGAATAGGCCTTGAGGCCAGCAGACCTGGGGACATTGCTTCCAGGCCAGGTTGTCAGTTATGTTATCCTCCTGCCCACGAGTTACGAAAGCCTAGCTCAGAGTAGACCGTAAAAGGGGGTGTAATATGAAAAGTTAGGGGCTGTGCTGCTTTGGGGAACAGCTACATTTGGGAGCTCAAGTGGCAGGACCTTCCCTGTCTCTTGGCTTTATTCTCTCATCAGGGCTTTACCCGTATGGTGGTAAGGGTTGACGGTCAGCCTCTGGGCACTGCCAGTTTAGTGGAAAGGAAGCCCCATGTTCCAAACACACAATAAAATCCTAGGGCCACCTTTCATTGCCTGCACTGGGTCACATGCTCATCACTGAGCCTGTGGCTGTCCTGGGTAACAGAGTGCTGATTGGCTGGCCTGGATCATTGCCCTAGGATAACTGCCCTCAGGATCAGTAACTGGTTACTGCTTTGGGGGCTGAGCGGCTGTCTCCTTCCTCCCACCAGGTTCTCAGCTCCTCCTCGACGACAGAGCGGTACCCCATGTTCACCCTGGCTGAGGGCCATGCTCAGGACCACAGCCTAGACAGCCTCTGCTCCCAGCTCCCCCAGCCAACCCTGCAGCTCCCCCGCACTGGGCGGCTCCTCAAGGCCAAGCGCCCGAGTTCTGAGGACTTTGTGTTTTTATAAAAGGGGTGGGGTGGGGGAGAAGATAGGAGAAACATTATTTATTTTTTTATTTATGTCACACTGGGCGTGGGAGCTTGAACTCTGATGGTGATGGTACTTCCCTCCTCTTACCCCACTGATGAGTGCAGCTGAGACCAGCACAGGAAACCTCCAGGCTGGGGCCAGAGCCTATAGGCCTGCTTCCTGCCCGCTGGGCCCCGAGCAGGGCAGGAGGGAGGGACAATAGGCAGGCTCCCAGGCACCCACTCAGGGCCTGACTCATGTACTGTAGTTTGCACTGGACCGCCTGTGCCCCTCACTGGTCTTCAAAGCCCCTGTCCTGCCAAGGCCTGGTGGCATGGCAACTATAGCTGCTCGGGGCTAATAAAGCCGTCTGACTTGACCTCAGCTCTGCCTGGACCCAGCATTTGAGAGATGGGACTCGGGGTGCAATCTCAAGGTGAGGTGTCCAAGTCTCCTGGGGAGGTTGTTAAGTAGCCCTCAGCTTCCACATCTGTTAAGATGGGAGTTCTTTGTTGCCCACAGGGAGATGTGAGTCTATACAGTTAACAGGGGGAATGCATCCAGGGGCTTGATTAAAGGAAAGGAACATGCAGGCCCTTGCTGGCTGCATCAAGCTCAGGGGCCACTCTTGGGCCTCCGCTGCTTCCTCTGTTGCCGGCCCAGCAGGCGGAAGTGCATCCGTTTTGGATTGAGACCAAAGGCCTGCAGTCTCTGGTGGCTGAACTCCTGTCCTCCAAGCTTCACTGTGGGGCCCAGGAGACGAGACTCCTTGACCCTCTTCCGCCTCTGGGGGCCTGGCTTCTCAGCAAGCGCCACGGAGGAGGCCTCCTTCTGTGCTGGGGGGCTCTCAGGCTGGGGCTGCTTCCTGCAGGCCCCATCAGGTGACAGCAGCTGTCCCTGTGGGCCGGCTTTGTCTCTCTGTGGCTTCCTTGTGGCTTCTGTGGGTGTCTCTGTCCTGGGGGAGGAAAGATGGGACTCAGGCCAGGCACAATGAGGCCCCTTCCCGGGTGCACATCCCCCATTTTAAAGCTAAGGAAAGGAGAGGCTCAGAGAGATGGCAACGCAGCAATTCAGAGGCATGCCTGGAATTCACACCCGGTCCCACATAAGCACTGGGGTTTTTCTGCTGGACCCTGAGGCTGGATTGTGTTGCTGATAATTCTGGTATCTTAACCTGTGTTTACACTAAGCTACTCATATTGTTAACTCATTCCAGCTTTAAATCAACTCCAAGAACTACCATCCCTGCTCTGGAGACCAGGAAATAACAACATGATACAACAGCTATGTAGAATTTACTATGTTTTAAGCACTTCACATGAATTTATTCACTTAATCCTCAAAAAACCCAACAAGAAATGAGCCATCTTTAACCCTGTTTTATAAATGAGGAAAGCGGTTCAGAGAAGGGAAGTGACCTGTCCAAAGTCACACAGCTGTAGCCCAGTCAGGTTTTGAACTCAGGTCTCAGATGGGAGGCCCCAGTCCAAGGTCATGCAGCAAATGGCTGACAGAGCAAGACCTCAACCCAGGCCCAGTGGGCTCCCCAGCTTGCCCTCCCTTTGGCAAGCAATACTCACTCCTCTGGGCAGATTGATTTGAATATCTGCCTCTTTTTCCACAAGTTCTGGGCCTTCTGGCTGTACGCCCTCTTGTCCTGCAGCTCCTCTTGCTCCGACCTTTGGGCACCCAGCAGACACACCTATCACTGGGTGCTCTGGGAGGTGCCCATGCATGTCTGCCTGCCCCTCCTCCCTTACACCTGGCCCAGCCCCACCCCGTCACCTATACATGCAGGTCTTCTTCAGGGAGCACCACCGGTTCAGCTCCTTGTCATCAGCAGCAAGGATCTGTATGGGAAGGGACAGTGGGGTCCTGCTGTGCAAGTCCTGGGGGCACCCTGACTCTAAGCCTTAGTCACCTCACCAGTCAAAGCAGGGTAATGCCATTACTACCCAGCAGGGACATCCTGATGGTGGGAGAGAACTGAGGCCCGTGGAGGCCAATCCACACTGTCCGCAGAGGACATCAGACAGGGAAACAGGTTCAGAAAGGGGTTCCTTGCCCCACGTCACGCAGCCAGGAAGGGGCTGATTTCAGATTCCAGGGCCCTGGAGCCCTCATCCATACACCCCTCAGTCCCAGCAGCCTCAGGGCAGAGGTCTCTATGCCCATCATTAGATTTGCTAGTTACAGACCAGGCCCAGGTTCTCAACCTCCAGGCTCCTGCCCCCGGCCTGCAGGTTCCTCATTTATGCAGTGAGCATCCCCTCAGAACCTACTGAAAGGTGGTCAAGAACGAGTGACTGCAGATGGCAGAAGCTCAGTAAAAATCAGCTATTTTTGCCGACTGGGGACGATCAAGCACCCACAGCCACCCAGGATGGCTAAAGGCCAAGTGCCGCGTAAAGAGCCACACATTATTTCACCTCCACAGCCATGAGGAAGGGCTGTTATTAAGCCTGTTTTACAGATAGGAAACTGAGGCACGGCGCCTTGAGTCACATGTCCAAGGTCACAGTTGGCAAGTGGCTAAGGCAGGATTTGAACCCAGACCATCTGGTTCCAGAGCCCACCAGTCTTAATGGCCACCTAGCTCCAACATATAGTAACAGAATGAAAGGTACAGCTGACCCCTGAGCAAGATGGGTTTGAACTGCATGAGTTCATATATATACACACACACCACACACACGTGTGTGGTGTGTGTGCGGACTTTTTTCAAAAAATACAATGAATGTATTTTCCTTATAATTTTCCTAACGTTTTTTCCTCTACTTTCTTGTAAGGACATAGTATATAATATGTATAACATACAGAATATATGTTAATCAGCTGTGTATCAGTAAGGCTCCAGTCAAAAGTAGGCTGTTATTACAGTCAGCTTTCTGCATCTGCAAAGGTCAAATCCATGGATTTGAAACTGCAGCTATGAAGGGAAAACTCTTAGTTGGATTTTTGGGGAATCAAAAATTATACACAGATTGTTGAATGGACAAGGGTTGGTGACCTAACCCTCACGTTGTTCAAGGGTCAACTGCAATATTTACAAGGGGCTGTTGGAAGTCCTCCAGTCTCACAGAAACCCTTTGAGGCAGGAAATATCAGTACTCTCATTAGCACTATTCCTGTCATTTTTGGTATGTGGAGACAGGTCGTGTGGCAACAACCTCTGGCTCTGTGCTCCCTCTTGCCTCTTGGGTGCCTCCCAGTGTCCCATGTCCACCTGGGGCCCTACCTCTTCAGTGCTGAGCCCGAAGTCACAGGGCACCACAGTGCGGTACTTGAATCGACAGGGTAGGTCATCGATAATGTCCTCATAGTCCAGCCGGTAATACTCATCCAGGTACTCCTCGAAAGTCTTGTCCCCTGTGTGAGCAGAGGGCCAGGCTACTGGGGTGTGCTGGCCCTGCAGAGCCCCTGCCCACCCACCACATGCCCACCCAGGCCTCACCGGGGTTGTACACAGGCTTCTCCTTCCCCACAGCTGCAGCAAAAGGGGACTTGCGCTTCTTCTTGCCTGTTAAGGGGGCCTCATACTTCCTTTTCTGAGGGTGGCTGGGATCATAGTCAGCATCCATCTGCCAACACAAGCACGTCAGACCAGCCCTCATGGCCCATGGGACCCTCCAAGGCAACCCCTTACCCCCTCCCAATAGCACCTACATTGAAGTCTGGATCCTCACAGTGCAGCTCCTGCTGGCTCCAGTTCCCACCATGCTCCAGGCCAGTCCACGTGTCCCAGTTCCAGTCATCTGGTTCCAGAGGACAGACAGGCAGGGATGGGCCGGGGGGCTCAGGATGGGACCTCAGGCTTTAGGCCCGGCACTCTCACCCCTGCCCAGTTACTTCACCTTCAAGCCCTTCCTCTTCCTCAAATCGTGGCTTCTCCTCCTCCATTGTGCCGTAGTACTCGTCCCCGAAGTATTTCTGCAGGGCCAGGGGCAGGGATGGTGGGTGGGTGGGGTCCAACCCCTCCCCAACAGCTCTACTCCTGTGCTTTACATGGCCCCCTTGCACTCTCTCAGGACCCAGCTCCTGACATGGGCCTGACAAAGCCAACCAGAGGACTCCTCTAAGACCCCACATTCTCCTACATGTCTCCATCACCACTCAGAACCTTACAGGTTGCTCCCATATGGTTACGTGCCTGCCACTAGACTAGGTGCTCTGAGAACGCAGGCTGCCTGGTGCTTGGCAAACAGTGGGTGATCAGTGAGTGTTAGACTTGTTCTCACCACTCCATGAGCTCCAAGAGGGCTGAAACCCCAGTGCTGGGCCTGCCAAAGGTGGAGACTGCTAAACATCATTTGCTGAGCACCTACTATATGCTCAATACTGGCTATATCTTGCATCTGCACAAGCACCTGAAGACAGAAAATACCTCCTTTCTACAGAGAAGCTGAAGAAGCTCAGGGCTGAGAAGCTTCTAAAAAGTGAAAGCTAAACTCTAACTACATAGCAACCCCAATCTGGTTTTCACATGGCCTACCCATACACCCTCAGTCCCCCTCCCTGACTTCCTAGGCTGGTCAGTGGCCTCTTTGGGGCTCCCATGGTCCCCACTGCTCCCCACACAACCTGCATCACCTGTTTCTATGGCCTGATGTTACATTCCCAAAAACACAACAATAAATATTAACGGTGCAATAAATGAGTTTAAAGGAAATACAGTGACTCACTGTTTCTTGAGCACTTACCAACTAAACTTCTATGCGTATTCCTCTCAAGCTACCCTTACAACAGCTCTGTGGTAGAGGTGATGGTTAGACCCTCTTTACAAACAGGGACAAAGGCTCAGACAGGCTACACAGCCAAGAAACACACTGATTCCAGAGCCCCGATCCCAAGCACTTGGCTGCATGGCTGGGCCCAAGTGTGGGGACCATACCTGCATGAGCTGGTCATGCCGGGTAGGGTCAAAGTCGTCCTCAAGGTCCTGTTCCTCAAAGCCCACTGTTTCATTGCCTGTGACCTGTCTCAGCTTCTGCAGCTTGGCCAGAATCTCCTTCCTTTTCAGGTTCTTCAGCTGCTTAAGTTCCTCCTGCTTCTTTGCTTTCTCCTGTGGGTGGCACACCAGATGAAGAGAAAGGGTATGGATTCTCTCCACAGGCCGGGGCCCTCCTGAACCCACCACCCCTCACACTCACCCTCCTCTTTCGCTCCCGCATCTCCTCCCTCTTCTCCTTCCTGCGCTCGTCCTTGCGGCGCACGGAGGATGCAATGCTCCGAGGGTAGGTCTTGACCTGTGGGCCAAAGAGATGACTCTGGACTCTCTCGGTGTGGCTGTCATAGGCTGGCTCCTCCCAAGTCTCAGCCTTAGCAACCTACCAAGGCCGAGTCTGGCTCCTCGAAGCGGAAATTGTACTTGTGCTCAAATTCCTCCTGCTTCTTCAGAAACAGCTCCCCCTCATCTGAGGAGTCGTCCACAGATAGTTGGACCGGGGGGCCTGGGACCCTGAGGGACGAGAAAGAGCAGGGCGGGGTCAGAGGAACTCCTGTGTATGAGCAGTATTAACACATTCAATCCTCCCAAGAACTCTATGGTAGGTGCCACTGTTACCCCAGCTGTATAGATGGGGAAGTCTAGCAGCAGGGTGAGGATTTGAACTAGTACCCCTAGCTCCAAAGCCCACATTCCACAGCTCATCCTCACAGGTGACAAACTCTACTACCATCTGTGTGAAAAAGCAAACACTGGTGCCCTTGCTTTCTAGCCAGGGTTGGCTCCAGGCCTCCAGTGAAAACACGGCTGCTCACCTTTCTTCCTCCTCCTCCTCCTCCTCTTCTTCTTCTTCCTCCTCATCTCCCTCTTCCTTGTAACGCTTGCTGAGAATATAATCCCGAAGGAACTGCTCTCCCTCATCCAGTTCTGGGTTGTTCCAGTATTCCTTAAGGTGAGTCTGGGAGTGAAGGGGTGCCAGGAGCCAGGTTAGACACTCAGAGGCAGGAAGGAGGGTGGACGTGGGCATCAAGTGGATTCAAATAACTGAAAATTCACAGCTGGCCTGTGACATAGGGGAAGGGCATAATTCCCACTTCACAGATGCACAAACTGAGGCCCAGAGAGGGGCCCAGCCATCTTCACAGTCTGTGCTCTTAGCTACCCTTTTAAGGCTGAGTTCTGGAAACAGGGTGGATGAAGGCAGGAAAAGCAGTGTAGTCCCTTCAGCAACCACGCGTGGAAACTCACCAAGTCTCGTAGGGTCTCAGGATTCTGAATCTCCTTCTGCCCCTTCAGCCATTCAATGTAGTCAGCATCCTCCTGGGCCTGGGGGAAGGCCAGCATGGAGGGTCTGCAGGAGCCCAGGAGCTGCCCATCTGCCAATAGCCCTCATCCAGCGGAGGCCCCAGCACCTACCTTCTCCTCCTTGGTTTTAGCGCGTTTCTGCAGCAACCTGGACCCACCTTCCCCAGCGCTATCCTCATCTTCACTGTCCTCCACGAATGCTCGGAAGCTGCCCACAGGAGAGTAAGTCTCAAAACAGCCAGGCCCCTGTCCACTGCCCCAACATTAACCCTATTCACTAAGCCCTGAGTTCTCTCTGACAAGCTCAGAGTAGTCTAGGACACAGAGGACATTATTAACCCCACTTAACAGATCAGGAAACAGGCATGGAGAGAGCAAGTAATGTGCTGCAGGGCACACAACCATTAGTGAGAGTTTGAACTAGACCCATCTAAACACAGAGCCTCAACTCCTATGAATCTGTCCACTCACTGGCCCAACTCACCTTTCCTTGAGCTGTTGCTGTTCTTCTACATAACTGTTCGATGAGACCTGCTCAAGACAGGGTACTGTGGGCCTCAGGCCCAGCCCCAGGGCCCCCCACAGCACCCCTGGCCCCCAGCCCACCCACCTGAAGTCTCTCATTGGAGGTCTCCCCGTCTGAATTCTCCTCATCAACGTATTTGCTGTGCAAGGAAGGATTGGAGCTTCAAAACAGACTCCCCACAGTCTGTCTGTCCCAGTGCAGTGAGGGGCAGTTACAAGCAGCAGGTGGGGGTGCCAATGGGGTGCAGGCCATCATGGAGGAAACCGCTGTCTGGCATTCCCTCAATTCTGGTGAGTCATTGGCTTCTTCCCACCTCTGCCCCAAAGACCCCCATGCACCCACTGGCTCTGGAAAGGTGGGGCAGGGGATCATATGTGGCGGGCCTTCTCCTCCTCACCCTTCTTTCTCCAGGATAACCTTCCTCTCATAGTCCTTCAGGTACATGGGCTGCACCTTCTTTTGCTTCTTGGCTGCCAGCTCCTCCTCACTCTCTGAGGGTGTTCCTGCAGAATCACCAAAAGACATTTGCCATTACCAAAAACCGCAACGTCCTTCTTTCCCCAGGCAGAGAATCCACTGGGCTAGGCCAGGGTCAAACAAAGGCTTCATGTCCCCAAGCCACCAGTTCCAGATGTACAACAGTTATCATACTAGCTGACACCTGGTAGTGCCCGGTAGGGATTAACAGTGAGTACCTCACGCTCTGAACAGTACGAGACAGACGGTTATTAGCATCAACAGGTAATAATCTAAGATACTCTGCTAAGCACTTTTGATATAAAATGACTCATTAAATAGTCACAACAGATGATAAGGCCATGAGGAACCTCAGCCTTAGAGAGGAGCAGCCCGAGACCTGTTCCCTGGTAGAAGGTGGCATCCTTCTGATAAATGCAAGGATCCTTCTTCTTCAACAGAGAGAGTGTCCTGTAAAAGTCTCGCTCCTGCTGAGGGTCAAATTCCTAGGGCAAGAAAAGGATTGAGAACAGATGTCAGAAGGAAGGTGGTGAGAGCGGTGGAAGGCAGTAAGCAACTGCAGTACGTGGGCTGAGAGGGTATGGGAATTAGGGTGGAGAGATGGGTGTACAATTAGATGGAATGAAAGGGGATCTCACTAGGGAGAGGCAGGGGCTGTGAGGGGGTGTCAAACAGGGAGAGAAGGGAGGAAGGGCCATGCATATTAAGTACAGGACCTGAAGCAGAGGAGGGTAGCAGACAAAGGGCAGATACTTCCTGAGGACCTGGGATTGACAAGGGGCAGGTGGAAGAGATGGCCCATGGCAGACAGCGGGAAGGACTGGGCTGCACAGTGAGGTGGGAAGATGATGTGGCTGATGTGGGGAGACGCTGGGTGCCCCGTGTGGCAGATGCCCCACTTGGGGAAAGAGTAGGAAACAGTTAGACTCTTGGAAGGTAAAAAGGGGGAGAAAGGGGTCACACCAAACACAGCAGGATGAACAGGTGGATCCATAGCGGGGGAAGGAGTGGATTTGGCCACCCCCTGGGAATCAGGAGGGCACCTGTCTGCTACTCATGGGACTGGGGGGCGGAGGATCGGAAGCGATGGGTTTGAGCACTAGCCGACTGCAGTAGTTGGGGTTAGAATATGGTGGCGGCCTTGAATGCCTCCCATACGTCCGGAGCCAGGGTGAGGAAGCTCACCACCCGCTCGTCGCTGGAGTCAGACTCGGAGCTGGAGTCCTCTCCACCATCTCGGTCCCGGTATCGATCTTTCACTGCGGGCACAGATGGGAGGCCCCCAGATCAGAATGGGGGGACCATACCAACCCCCACTTCCCGATGGCCTAGAAGCGTCGACGGCCCGCAAGCATGAGCCCCGCACTCACGCCGTTGCAGCTCCTCGCGTTCCCGGTAGCGGCTGTACCTCGCTGCAAACGCCGCGTTTACCCGCAATGGAGAAGATCCGCGCGACTCCGGCATGGCGGCCCTGCGGCCCACTGCGCACGCGTACGGCCCCCACGAGCGTACTGCTCCAAGCCTCCGCCCAACGCCAGACGGGAACTTTAAAGGGGGAGGAGCTTCTCGAACCTCGCCTAACCCCGCCTTCGCATTTTTCCGGAATCTCTTGAGCCTCCAGACCGCAGTACACGCCCACGGTCACGCCTCTGGAGGGAAGGCTTCAGCCACCGCCCACCCCACCCCAGGGCTACCCGAACCCAGCTGACATCTGGGGGCCCTTTCTCCACTCGCGGTTTCCTGCCTCCCTTCCGTTCCGACAGTGCAAACCGCTGCCCCACCCAACTCACTCACTCCTGGAGCCCTGGGAATTACTGCTCTCTTCCCTATTCCGAAGCATCCATGATCTGCGACCCTGGTGCCCACCCCCGCAAATATCCTGGACGTGTGACTCTCCACCGCAGACTCAAAAATCACAAGCCACCAGCACTTTGATCACGCACAAGAATTAATTTAATGGGTAAAACATTAAATTATCACACAACTTCTTTCCACAAAGATTAATAAATAGAATCTTTTTTTCTTAATGCTGTACAAGAAGAGACTGGAAAACAAGCTTCCAACAAAATATGAATGAACTCATACTACCCTTTTATTCATTTGGAATTCCCCCCACCCCCCATGCTCAAAAGCAGTGTGCACCTTGAGGTTTCTCTCTGGGTACAGTCAGCCAAAGTTGCCAGGTTCCAGAAGCCCTGGAAGCAATGACCTCACTCTAGGGCTCAGGCTTTAAATGCCCTGCCCTTCAGACTCATCAGCTGCCCCAGTAGTCTAGGGCGTGGAGGAAACTGAACCGTTTAGGTGGCTGTTGCCTACAGGAGTCCTTCTCACCAAACACACAATAGGAAAAAACAAATGAGAAATGCCCCTTAAACACACAAACCCAAGAGATCAATACCAACAAGCCACAAACTGGTGTCCCTCCAGTTTGGCAGTGGGCAGAAAGAGCAAAAAGAGAAAGTGTTTCTTTCCTCCTCTTTTGAGATAGAACCCAGCTGGGTCCTGTTGCTGCAGTAGGTGGCCCTGGGTCACAGTGGTGCCACCATGTGCCCCTGCAGTATGTCCATAAGATCCTGAGCCCCTCTTCCCTGTGCCAGCTCCAGGGGTGTGAGCCCTCTGGTATCCCTGTGATAGAGATCAGACTCAGCAGCTAGGAAGCTGACCACAGCTGCGTGGCCCTCTCTCACGGCCAGATGGATGGGGAGCGCCCCGGTGTTATCAGGCATGTTGACATCAGCACCATGCTCTACCAAAACCTTCAGAGTGTCGAGGAATCCAGTGCGGGCTGCATCATGGGCCGGAGTGGTGCCTGAGGCATCCTGAACATTGGGGCTGGCACCTTGCTTCAGGAGCTCCAGGGCGATGATGGGGCTGCCAAACATCATGACCTGTGCGGGGGCAGAGTGAAAGAAGGGTGTCCTCAAGTGAGGGATTCCAGGAAAAGACATCAATGAAAAGAGGGGTCATTCAGAAATAGGGAACATCAGAGAAGAAGTTATCTGGAGAATAGAAAAAGCCCAGAGAACCCAAGCCCCTAGAGAACAAGGTCTCCTAGGAAGAGCAACCCCACCAAGAAACTGGTAACCCCTTAAGGATAAGACACCTCCTTAGGAATAGCCCTCATACAAACTTTCTTTCAAAGAACCTAAGACCCTCTCCAAAGAACCAGAGGACCACACCCCTTCAGATGTAGGAAATCACCAGGAAACAAAAACCTCCAAGAAAATGGTCTCAAAATGAGAACTGTCCCCTACCCCCAAGAGAAAACAGTCCCCTCAAGGGAAAGGAGATGCCCAGGGAGCCTGAAACTCCTTCTCCGATAAATAGCCCCTTTCATATAATTGTAATGTTCCCCCGAGCACCTGAACCCCTCAATGGGGTTCTCCACTAAAATGACTCCCAAAGAATAGGGTACTACCATGCAATCTGTAACTGTTCTCCCAGTAGAACCCCCCCCCCATACACCAAGAATCTGAAAACACCCGACATCACCCCCCCCCCGCCCCCAGAAACTGGATACCTCTCATGGAACCCACTAGACAATAAGAACGCCCTGAAGACACGAATCCCTCCTATCAGCGATCGGATTCCCCGTCTCTGGTCCCCATAGAAGCCCAAAGAAACCAGAGCCGTCCCCGTGAAAATGGTACCCAAAGAAACTGAGCCCTCATTCATGGAATAAGAACCTTCCCAGAAAAACCGAATCCCCGGCACCCAAAGAACAAGGAATTCTCTAGAGATGGAAAGCCTTCCCTTCCCTCATCCACCACCCACAAAACTAAAGGGGACCTCAAGGAGCAACGTCAGCCCAGAAATGGAGGACAGGATCCCAGTCAACCACCACCAGAGCCAGGAGACTTTGGGGAAGGGGCTCCTTGAAGTGATAAAGCTCAGTTCTCTCCTGGCTCTGCCGTTCCGGCCTTGCTGCTGAACAGACCGGCCTCACCTGCAGCGCTGTCTTGCCGAAGCGGTTCAAGACGTCTGGGTGCACCAGCTCACGGGACAGAAGGCGGCGCACCTCCAGCACGTCGCCCCGGGCCGCGGCTCCGCTTAGCCGGTCGCCGGCACAGACCTCCTCCAGCAGCATGTCGACACTGATGGCCTGAGAAGCCCCCCCGCCCCACCCCGGCGCGGTCAGGATGGGGAAAACCGCGGATACTGGCCCAAATAGCCCTCCCTCTGAGTGCCCAGCCAGCGCTAGGCTGCCGGCCCGGCTAGCCACTCTGGGGCTCCAGCGCGACCCCCACCTTCCCGGCCGGCTCCTCCCCTCTGTCAGCCCGCAGGTTGCTAGGGGCTGGGAACCCGGCCCAACCCTCCGAGGCCCGCAGGGGGCCCGGTCTCCGCCCAACTTACCCTCCCTCTTCCTCTACGGGCGGGGTCTCTTCTGAGCCTCAAGACCGACGCGGCCGCAGAGCAATCCGCTAGGGGGCGGAGACAGCACGCTCTAGGCCCCGCCCCTGAACGCGGCAGATTTGTTTTCTTATGAACTCGCTACTTTGTAGCTCTACAGGGTTGCCCGGCGCCCGACCTTGCGGCGCTCAACCCACACGTTCAGTGCAGCCAATGGCTATGCGTTGCCAAGGAGGGTTTGCGCTCCGCCGTGGGCGGTGCCGCTCCTGATTGGCCGATCCACGGGGATTGGTAGACCGCCAGCAATGGCGGGGTTTTCGGTTTTTCAAATGCGCCTGGCGGGCGGGAGAGCGGGTCCGTTTAACTGATCCGAGAGAGAAAGGTCAGGTGTAGGGTAGCGCAGGCTGCTCTGGGACCTCGGCAACTCCATGAGAGAAAAGAGGTAGGGTGGGGGCTGCCCAGTCCAGGGTTCCTCCATTCAGCCACGCGGTAAGAATTTATTCGCCGTTACAGGGCGTGGAGCGTTTTATTTCATTCATTCACTCATCACGTACAGGAACCGTTCCCAATATTAAGGCGCGCACATTCAAGCACCTAAATAATTTAAGATAGCTTTAAGCAATAAGCTATCTTAAGCTTTATTGAAATGAAGGTGGGTGAGGAAAAGTTACCGTTTCGGCTCAGATTGAGCCAACCCTAGCAATAAGTGCAAAGGCGAGGACGAACGTTCACGCCGCAGCTGCCACGTGGTTGAATTTGGGAGGTGGCTCTTACAGAGACCTTCATTCAAACATTTATTGAACACCTCCTGTGTAGTAGGTGCCCAACTGGAGAACATGTTGCCGTTTAGGGCAGACGAGGACATTAATTAAATCTTTAAAGAGCGGTAAACGATAAGGACCGGATAAAACGGGATAGTCTATTGGGAAAGGAAGGCCGTTGAATACAGAGGTCAGGGAGGGCCAGTCTGAGTTGGTGACACTGATTAGAAACCTAAAGGTACGGACGTGAAGGAGCCATGGGGATATCTAAGGAAAAGCTTGCCAGGTCAAGGGCACTACAGACGCAAAAGCCCTAAAGTGGGAGTGTGCCTGGTGTGTCCAGGAAGAGCAAGGAGGTGAGGGCTGGTAGGTGTCGAGATGGTTAGCTCAGATCAGACTAGGCTGGGGAGTTGCCTTAAGGACTTGACTTAACCAGATGGGAAGCCTGGGAGGTTTCTGAGTAAGAGTCAGGATCTGACTTAGAAGTTTACAAGCGCCCTCTTGCGGCTATGAGGGGAACTAACCGTGGTCGGTGAGGAAAGTTCCCAGACGACGGCGGTGGAGACAGGGGGGCTGGCCTAGGTAAAGTATGACCTCGGTTGAAGGATGAATATGCGTTGCCCACCCCCATCCCACAATTCAGGGACGCCCCTGGCATCCCCAGTCTCCAGGCAAGAAGCACATACACAAAGGTTAAATTCGTCTTTTTAATGCCATCCAAAAATGCAGAGGAGTGGGCCAGTGAGGCCTCTGGGCTCAGCAGCTGTGAATGAGGAGGGGTCCCCACACCCCCTAAGGCAAGTCACTGCAAGAAGGCACTCTTGGAGGGACTTGAAAGCCCCTTCTCTCTTCATATGAAAGTGGAAGTGTAGAAGCTGCGAGGCAGAGGTAGGAGGGAGACCATCCCTTCCAGTCTATGGGTAGAGAACAAGACTGGGGGGTGGCGCCCAGGTGCTGGGAGCAGGAAGCAAGAAACTGCTAAGCCAACAATCAGCCTGCTTACACACACCTTCTCCACCTTCCTTCCCTCTCTCTAAAGTCTGCAGTCAGGGCCTATGGAGAGAGAGGCCCATGTTCAAGCCCCTACATCATCTCCCTTCTAGCTGGTACGAAGTTGATAATCTGCAAGAAAAACAATGAGCAAGGACCATCTCAGAACCGAAGAAAAGGCACCTTTGCCCCCAGCTCCTCCCTAGCCCCAGTGTTCATGATCAACCCTGCCAGGCTAAGGATGGCGTCAAACACAGGAACTGTACCCATAGTAATACACCTGTGTCCAGGCAGCAGATGGGGGTGCTATGTGTTTGTAGCACTCAGGAACTGGCGACTGCCCCCATTTTAAAAATGGGCAAACCAAGGCCCGGGTGGCGTGCTGATAGACAGGGTAGGCCTGTTGAGTTTTGGAACCCTCCAAGTGAGAATCAAAGCTCTAAGACCATCCCCAACATCTATCTCCTGAACCCCATTGTTCCAGGGAGTCGGGCTGCCTTACCACCACTCTGGGTGATGTAGCGGACCCAGGGCAGGGCCTGGTAACCGCTTTTCTCGATGATCTTCATGTATCGGACCTGGAAGGAAATGAAAGGAGGTAGCCCAAGCTGTTGGGGAGAGGGCTTGCTGGGGCCAGGGGAATATATGTGACACAGCTGGGGGGAATAAGATGGCACAGTCTGGGAGTAATGACGTGACATGACTTGGGACAAAGATGTGGCGTGGACAGAGGGAATGGGGGAAAGGAAGGTGGTTCAGGACAGTGGTCCAGAAAGAGATGGTACAGCGTAAGGAAATAGACAACACAGCTTTGGGGGGACAAGGTGACGCAGGCCACAAGATAGGTCAACAGCTTGTGGGTAGGAGAGGGACGAAGTGAACAAACTAGTTGGGAATGAGATGGCGCAGAGCAAAGTGAGAGGTAGAGAGAGGCTGAGAGCAGAAGAGGCAACACTGTTCTGGGGAAAAGGCAAGGTTGACTACGGAGGAGAGGTGACCCAGGTCTGGGAACAGAGGTGACCTGAGACAAAAGATGGCAGAGAGGGGAACCTACTGAGGCCAAAGAGAAAAGCCACCCTGCCCACTTCCCTCACCTGAATCCCGGAGACAGTAAAATAGGGGATCTCAAACTTGACCCCAATGGGTGGTCGGCCCTCTTCCTCCTCCTTCTCCACACTGGGGAGGCCAAAGTGGGCACGCATCAGGTACTCCTTGCCCCCCTATAGGCACATGGGAGCATCAGACACACTGAAAGACCCCTAAACACCCCAAACAATCTTCACAATAGACCCTGCAGCAGGCTTAGCTCTCAGTCAATTTTACAGACAAGAAAGATTCCTGGCCAAGACTTACAACCAAACCTTCTGACTGCATAGCCTGGATGGAGGGTGTGTGTGTGGCTTCTGATCACCATCTCCCATTTTTCAGGCCTTGATGAATCCTTACACCAGATTCCAGGAACAGACCAAATCCTTCATGGGCCCAAGGATGCAGGTAACATAATCCTGTCTCTTTCAGATGGGTTAACTGAGGCTCCATGAGGGGAAGATGGTTTCCTAAGACCATCAAGGCCACCCAGCTTAGACAGGCAAGAGTGGGGTGGGAATCCAAACCCAAGGCTGGTTTCCTCCAGACCTGGGGAGGGAGTTTAACCACCGCGCAGGCCTAGCGTCCGGCTTTATTACCCGCAAAGACAACCATGTGCGGGCAGATGTGGGTCGCTGATTGGTTCTCCACCTGACCCTCAAGAAGTTGGAGTGGGACCTGCCCAGATTCCCACCCTTCTCCAATGCTCACCGGAAAAGACTTAATACTCCAAATCACAATGTTCTTCTCGGGCACGTACTTGGCACTGCCCACACTAGTCTTGAAACGTGGGGAGTCAGCATCACTGGGTACTGGCACAGATATCTCCACACCGTTGGCCACTGACTGCTTCTTAAACTGTCCCTTGGCCTGTTGGGAGGGAAAGAGGGTACAGCAGGAAGAATTTGTTCTTGGGCTTTGCAATTATTCAAGAAGCACTTTCCATGCACCATTTCATTGAGAACCTCCACAGTCCTGAACTGGGGACCACTGTCCTGCCCAATTCACAGAGGACAAAAACAGAGGCTTGGAGAAGCAAAGGCATTTGCCTGCAGACACACAGCCGGCAGGTGCTAGAGCTGGGTCCACACACATGAGAGACTTCAGAGGCTCTACCCGTGGCACCTTCCATTTGGAAAATGCCATACACCTTTGCCTGGTTCAAAATCACTGAGCCCATCACAGAGGTGTTTTTATTCAATAGGAGCCACTTACTGAGCCCATGCCATGTGCCAGGCCCTGTGCCAAGCACTTAATCCTCTCAATGATTCTTTAGTGTAGGATCTATTCCTCAGGTCCATTTTCCAGGAGATTGGGGCACAGAGAGAAAGAGCCCTTTGCCCAAGTCACAGAGCTGGTAACTGGCACAGGAGGGATTTCAACCGAGCCTGCATCCTCAATCATTACGTGCCCTCCTTATAGATAAATGAAGAAATTACAACACTATATTCATATCCAGACCTGTGTGATATAGAGCAAGCTTTTAATACAAGGATTCTAAGTGCTCCATGTGTGGTAGCTAACACTGTAATTACTGCTGCTATTTATTCATTTGGAAAGGGATATTTGAGAGGTGGGATCTGGGGCAGAGGACCTGGAGATAAATGGGTGGGCGGGGCATTGTTTTTGTGGAAGGCACCAACTTTAATAGTTCCTCTCCCTTTCTTGCCTGCAGAGATGGGGACATTAAGGGGCATCAGGACCCTCCCTGGTGACCTTCCACTGTGCAAGCCAGCTCCCCAGAAACCCCAAGACCGGGGAAGAAAGTCAAATATAAGAACACAGACTCCTGAGTCAGGTGGACCCAAGTTCAACATGGAGGCACCCTCTTCCTAGATAAGTGACATCTTAATCCCTTGGGCCTCAGTTTCCCCATATTTAAAAGAGGACTAAACTATATGCTCTGGAAAAGTTCTTTCATGGGGCCCCAGAACACACGCAGAGCTGTTTACGGCAATAGGAACCAGAACAGCCAAGAACTGAAAATACCCCATGTGAGACAATGGAGACATACAGTTTTCCGTGGTGGAATATTCTGCAGCTATAGAATTGATGCACTAAGCTATGACACCTGGAATTCATCATCAAATCAACATTATGTGAACAAAGTAAGTGATACACATAATCAAACAGCCTGAGT